AGATTAGCTCTAGCGTGCCCTGGGCCGGGGCTTTGGTGTAGGTTCAAATGCCTGTAGCGGCCGTAGGCTCTATATGGAGATCACTGACAGGGCTGGGCGGAAGGGCAGGTGGAGAAGTTGGTCTGGAGGAGCTCCTCAGAGTGTTCCCCAAGGCTGCATTTCTCACTCCTGGACCCAGGAGCATAGGATTAGTCTCTCTGTCTCTTCCTCTGTCTCTCTCTCCTACACACACACACACACACACACACACACACACACGCACACGCGCACACACACACACACACACACGCACACACGGCCAGCCTGAGGTTCCCAGCTCCATCTCCTGGGCCTGTAATGTCCCTTGCCTTCCCTAGGCCCCTGGCTGCCCATGAGAGCGGTGTTAGCGACACGGTGGCCCCTGGCCAGGAGCTGCTCCTGCTGCATCTTCCTGTCGCCGCCACCCAGCTAAATATAACCTGACACTGCACAGCCCTGGGCTGCAGCTCCGGAGACAGCTTCTGCCTGGGGGCGGACAGGGCCGACTGTGGCCCCAGCCTCCTGCCCTCAGCGTGACTTTGGGCCCATTCCGGGCACAGCTCCTCCTGCTCAGAGGGAGGCGGGGAGGTGACCAGGGTGAGATGCTCGAGGTCACCTTCCCTGCAGGGACCTGCCACACTGCCTTGTTACGGCTCTGGATGCTTCCGTAAGGCCATCTGTCACCTCATCTGGTACCCAGCACGGGAATCACTTGTCCCCGCTCTACCCACAGTGTAAGCTCAGAGAGGTGGGCCACCTGCCGACAGCCACACAGCAAAGGAGAACGAGGCCAAGAGCTCAGGTCTCCCGACGGCAAGGCAGACTGGCTCAGCGTCCCAGGGCTCCTCTGCCGTCTGGGTTACTCCCTCTTCCTCCATCTTGTCCTGTGCACCAAACTGGGGCCACATGGAACACTGGCTGGATGACGGCTGTGGGCCGACCCTCGGGGGTGAGGGAGCCACGAGCCCACTTGGTTTACAGGTGAAACAGCTGCGGCTCCGACCCCAGGAGGTGGCCAGGGCCGCTGAGGGCCGCTCGGGTCCTGTACAGGGCTCCTCTTCTCCTCGCCGGTTGCTGTCAGAGCTACATATGGCTCCTTCTGAGACCTGGGCTGGGCCAGCTGTGCCAGAGGTGGGAAGTCAGGTTTGGGGTGCCGGGTGGTGCCCCTAACCCTGGGGCTTTTGGATGCTGGGCAGGGACCCTGGGCGAGGATGCCTCCCCAAGCGGGAGCGGGCACCACGTGACAGCAAGCCAGGTGCTGTGTTCTGGTAACAGGGACCTTCCGTGGGGTCCAGATGCGCTGCGCCTGCTGTGGCTGGATGTGGCCCGGCCTGGTTCTCCCGGAAGCCCCTCCCACCGTCCTGTCCCTGTTTAGTGACCTGCAGTGAGCCGCGTGACCTCCGAAGCTGCCGGGAGAGAGTAGCTGCTTGCTGACATGTGGCTGCCAGTCCACGCCTGCCTCCCTTTCCGGGTCTCCATCTCCATTAGGCCGAGCAGGGCGGGCTCCTCACCCAAAGCGGGGTCTTTCCAGCCTGGCTGGGCTTCAGGAGGAGGGTGGCAGGTTGTGTTTTGGCATCAGCCGTATAGGTGGGCTGGCCCAGGGACCCGGTCCATTACTGGGACCTGTCCACCATGTGCTCCTCTCCCCCTTCTCAAGTTTATGGAGCCCCTCCCTTGAGCCAGGCCCAGCCCCCTCCCGTATTATTTTACCCCCGTGGCCCTGTGGGGTGGGCGTGATTACTTGTCGCAGATGTGCACTCTGGGAGGGTGACTGGCTCTGGGACCCTCCAAAGTGATAACAATGCACAAAGACCACCTGACTTCACAGCCTGTGCCCTCTTCCCTCCCAGAAAGGGGAATTCCGAGTCCAGTTGACCCCTCCCCGCTGTCCTGGCTGCCCCCTGCTTCCCCAAGTTCCTGCTGCCTGGGAGCGTGGGCCGTGTCTGCCACAGAGTGGCTCCCGGTGGAATTGCAGCCTTGCCCAGCTCCCGGCCGCCTGGCCCGTCCTAAGGCCGCCTCTGAGCTGCCCTGGGTGAGCTGGGTCACTGGTGGGAGCCAGGGCAAGTGGGAGGGGAGGGGTGCAGGTGAGGAGCTGGGGCTGGGTGAGGCGGGATCTGGGCTATACGGGCACGCTGGATGGCTGTGCCACTTCCTGATGCAGCTGAGCCACTTCTCTTGGCATTTCTTCTCTGCCAAACAGTTACATGGCTAGGACACCCTCAGCTGCTGTTTGCTCTGTGCTGATGCCCTGCTGTGCACCCCTGGGCCCTGTCTCTGGCCTGGCTGACCTTCCCCTGCCCCCAGGGACCCTCACTTCTCCTGCTCTCAGTCAGTGATGGGGAGGGGTGCTACCTGGAGCCAGGCCAGAGTACTGGGAGCCTCCGGCTGGCAGGCCTGGCAGAAAAGCTGACATAGGTGGTGTGGCAGCTTGCAAAGGACCAAGTCCACCAGACAGGTGAGACAGTGCCACAGAGCGGGGGCCTACTGAGACCCCGCTTTCCTTCCTTCCAGCAATCCTCCACCTAATCGCTCTCTGCTTCAGCCATTAGCCAGGGCTGGGGAGGGTCACATTTTTGGAATAACCAGGCCTTTGATAGGATTATGTAAAAGGAAAAATTTCTTGAATGTCAACAAAGGGAGGGGACTGGGGTATCTGTGCGTGGATGTGTTTCAGGGTATGGGAGAGGCTGTGCGGTGAGGGAGGCTTATCCCAGATTTCCTGCATTGGGAGGGTTTTTGTTTTTGAGATGCGAGGGTCCTGGGGTTGCAATCTGAGATGCCAGGGTCCTTGGCTGGGGGAGTTTCAGAATGCAGAGCTGGCTTCTCCTGCTGCATAGCCTGGACTGAAGTGGGCACAGGGTGCCTCGGACTGAAAGTCAGAATTGTTGGGAGTCTGTCTTAGGGGCAGATCCTCCAAGCCATCCGGAAGGGCTGGGGTCTGCTTGGTTCCAGACTTGAGCGCTTGGATTTCCAAGGTCCTGGAGTGAGTGCTGGGGTCTCTGGAACTGAGGTTCCCTGGTCTCCGGCCTCTCCTTAGTCCAGAGGAGGCCAGGCTCTGCTCAGGCCGCTGCCGGCCATCACCATATTAGGGCATAAACTCCAGGCGGTTGTCTGGGTGCCAGATGGGCTCCAGCTGGGTCCAGCCCCCTGCTGCTCCAACACCACAGCTGTGTGTCAGAGGCCGGAGGTCAGGGGACAAGAGCGGCTGTTGGAGGGAGACCCAGGCAGAGCCCCTGAGCGCAGGTCCCTAGCAGGGCCTGGGATAGGGTGAATGGCAGGATATGGCTCCTCCTCACCTTGAAGTCACCTGTTAAATTGGCTTCCGGACCTTGTTCCACTTAGGCTGTTGCCCTGCTCCAGTCTCAGCCCCGTCCTTGAGGAGCCTACCTGGAGCATGGCCAGCATGTCCCGGGAGGCAGGCCTGTGCGTCCCCACTGGCCTGTGACATTGCCCCCCACATCCCCTGGCTGGCAAGTATCAGGCACCACCTGACGGTGCCAGCTGTACCCTGACTCAAATCCCCGTAGCCCCCACCCCCATGGTCTGCCACCGGGCTGGGCTGACGAGATACAGAGGGGAGAGAGGTGAGCAGGGGGGACCGCACAACTCCTGACCCCCACCATGACCGCTGTGGGTCCCTATTAGCATAGGCTGGTTCCCATTAGTCCAGGTGCGAGGCCCTGAGGGAGGGGATGTGGAGACTGGGGGGGACAGAAGGCAGAGGGATGGAGGGGGAGGTAAGATGAGGAAAGACGGGAGAAGAGGAACGTGGCTGGGTCCTGTGGAGGGGAAGCAGGATGTCACTGTGTCCTCCTGACTCACCAAGGGTGACTTCCCGGAGGCAGGGCTCTGAGCGGGGCCCTCGCTGGGGCTGAGGGCTCAACCTAAAGTGGCATCTTTTAGAGAGCAGCTTGGTGGGGGGTTGTGCTTGACGGAGCCAAGGGGGACCAGTGAGCTGACCTGGCCTGGTAGGAGGGCTCTGGGGGACAGAGACAGACTGTGGCGGGGAGCAGGGGGAGAAATCAAGGACAGGGAGGAAGCCAAGGAGACACAGAGGAAAGGTCTGGAAAGCTGGGCTTTGGTGAAGGGTCAGTTTTCTTTAGCTCTACTACGTCACCGAGCAGCGCTTCCGTGAAACCCAAGATCGCGTGCTTGGCTGATGTGGCAATGCCAAGTTGCCGTAAGGTTTCGAAACTCTTGCTTCCAACTTCTGTACTTATCTTGTTGTGACTGACACCGTGGCTGGGAACCAATCTTCAGAGAACAGAGGCGGAGACAGATAGCAGTGACCAGGCATCTGCAGCACTCAGGGCCCGCCAGGCCTTGCCCCAAGCACTTAGCAGCGTCCACTTATTTAATCTTTACAGCTCCTGGGAAAAGTTATTTTAACTCCTATTTTGTAGGTGAGGAAAATGAGGCACAGGGTGTTAAACAAGTTAAAAGCAATGCATACATCAGTTCACAGCAGAGGCCAGATCGGAGGCCAGAGATTCAGGGCCTGTAGAGCCTGTGGGTTCTTCTTGCTTGTTTTTTGGAGACAGAGTCTCGCTTTACAGTTCAGGCTGGCCTCGAACTCATGGCAGTTCTTTGGCCTCAGCCTCCTGAGTGCTGAGATTACAGCCGTGGGCTTGAACATGGGGCTATACTGCTTTGAACGAGGGAAAAAACAAAGGACCAGGAAACAGGTGAAAACACAGAATGAAAGGCTCATAAACCAGTGAGAAAGAGGGCAAGAGGGCTAGAGGCCTGGGGTAGGCAGAGAGGAACACAGGAGACAGTCTGAGGCAGAGGGAGGGACAGGATGCAGACTGGCAAGCATGTGGCCAGGGGCGGGGTCAGGTAGGGAATTGTGGGGGCTCTCGGGGAGGCGGAAGTGGCTGGACCCTTTTGGGCCTGGGGGTCCATCCTGGCCAGTTTTATAGCTTGCGGCCTGAGGCCACACTCATGTTTTTCGAGACAAGGTCCCATTTTGCACTCTGCAGGGAGCTGCTTCCTGTGTCTGGTGGACGTGGTGCCTGTGAAGAACGAGGATGGCGCTGTCATCATGTTCATCCTCAACTTTGAGGTGGTGATGGAGAAGGACATGGCGGGGTCCCCAGCTCGAGACACCAATCACCGGGGGCCCCCCACCAGCTGGCTAGTGCCTGGTAAGTGGACAGACAGGTAGAGGGGCAGGGCCCAGAATCAGGAATCCTTGTGCCAGAGAGCCTGCGCAGCTCTCCTGAGGAGTGGTGCTCCAGCCCCACTCGAGCAGCCAGGTGGCCCTGGCCACTGAGAGCGGCTTTGTCTGCTTGTTAGAGAGCTCTGTCTCGAGGTCTCAGATCCCCTCTCTCCGTGGAGCTCTTGTCCTCTGGTCTTTGATCCTGGCCTGGCCAAGCTCCCTGAGTGGCCTTGGCTGGTGGAGAAGAGGCTGTCCGGGAAGCTCACTTTGGCCTCACCTTTTCCCGACCCAAAGGCAGGATCCCCTGCCTCCCCCAGGATGGCTTCATTGGTTTAATTTTTGCAGGACAAAACTCTTCACTCCTTGGTTTCTCAAGCTCTGACACGACGTTAATGACGCTAGCCTTATGGGTGCTGGCTGCCAGTTGTCAGGGAGTGGGAGCAAGAGGGGGGCATCATTCCCCCTCAATCGGTGCAGGCCCAGCATTGATTGTGTGGCCCCCGGCAGCTCCCCAAGGAATCTAGGCTCAAGTTTCCTGCTGTCTAAAATGGAGATGATGGGTAGGGCTTGGTGGTGGACACCTCAGCACTTGGGAGGCTGAGGCAGGAGGATCACTGCAAGTTTGAGGCCAGTCTGGGCTCCATAGTGAGTTCAAGGCCAGCCTGAACTACAAAACGGGACCTTGTCTCAAAAAACAAAAACAAATTAAAAAAAAGGAGATGGTGGTACCTACCAGTGCAGTTGTGAAAATCACAGAGGACTTAGGGAGCAGAAAGTTGGAAGTGGGAGTTGAATAGGATTAAGCTTTAATGAGATTGGCTGGTCTTCAGGAGGTGAGTTCTGTGCGTGGTGTTAGGGCTGGCCCATCATGGTCCCCGGATCCCTGTGGCCAGCACTCCAGTTCTTGTGCTCTCTGGCAGCTTGCAGTCCCCATGCCACTGGGCTCCCTCCTCCCACAGGCCGAGCCAAGACCTTCCGGCTGAAGCTTCCTGCACTGCTGGCCTTGACTGCCAGGGAGTCGTCATCCATTCGGCCAGGGGGCACAGGTGGCGCGGGTGCCCCAGGGGCTGTGGTGGTGGACGTGGACCTGACGCCCGCGGCACCCAGCAGCGAGTCACTGGCCCTGGACGAAGTGTCAGCTCTGGACAACCATGTGGTGGGACCGGCGGAGGAGCGGCGCGCACTGGTGGCCCCAGGCTCCCCGCCCGCCAGTGTGCCCGGCCCTCCACACACCTCGCCCAGGGCCCACAGCCTCAATCCTGATGCCTCCGGCTCCAGCTGTAGCTTGGCTCGGACGCGCTCCCGGGAGAGCTGCGCCAGCGTCCGACGAGCCTCCTCGGCTGACGACATCGAGGCCATGCGTGCTGGAGCGCTGCCTCCGCCCCCGCGCCACGCCAGCACCGGTGAGGGCACATGCCCAGCCAGCTGCCTTGCCCTTGCCCCGCCAGGCCTCCTCCCTCTCCCCCACGTCCTGGGGACCTGGGAGCCTGGGAGATGGAAATGCTATTAAGCACTCATTTAATCTCATTAAGTGGCCTTTTACTGTATTAAATGTTCATTCATCCCATTACATTCTTCCACTCACAGAGCCCTTGCTCGTGCATGGAGCTGGCTGTCCCGGGACGTCCTGGGGCAGGGAAGACCATGGGTACTGGGAAGGGCAGGAGAGGTCACAGTGGCTCCTGATACCACCTGGCCTCTGGCTGTTTCAGTGCCCACTGAACAGGCCCTTGCTACATCTCATATAGCGTCATGCCTGCTCCCTTAAAATGAGGAGGGGCTGGCCTTAGCTGGTTTCCATGACGGCGGGTCTCTTGAGTGGAACTTGATGGCCAGGCAGGGCCCAGGCTCCACCCCAGCCTCGGTGTTGAGTGTCTGACTGTCCTCCAGCCCTGGGCCGCCCACCTGACCCGGCTTTGCCTCTCCACCCCAGGGGCCATGCACCCCCTGCGCAGCGGCCTGCTAAACTCCACCTCAGACTCTGACCTCGTGCGCTACCGCACCATTAGCAAGATCCCCCAAATCACCCTCAACTTTGTGGACCTCAAGGGCGACCCCTTCTTGGCCTCGCCCACCAGCGACCGGGAGATCATAGCACCCAAGATAAAGGAGCGGACCCACAATGTCACCGAGAAGGTCACCCAGGTAGGTGCCCAGTGGCCTGACTCCTCCTCACCTGTGGGGAGCTTCCAGCGAAAGCAGCGGGAGCAGGCTGTGGTTCAGAGGGGTGAGGTGGGGGCCCAGCCTGATGAGCTGCTGGTGAGGATGGGGAGATGAGCCCTAGAGAGGGAGGTTGGAGGGGAGGTGGCCCTGGGACAGGCAGGCGCAGGTAGGTTGGTGGGTGGTGGCTGGAGCAGACCGGGTGAGGACAAGACACTCGAGGTTAGGGACATGGGAGGGCCGTGATGGGTGGGCGAAGCCATCAGGAGGAGCTTCCAACTGAAAGGGGCACAGAGGTCAAGGTCAGGAGGGTCCTGATTCCGCTGGGCGAGGTGAGGCAGGTGGCAGCTAGCGGGCGGTGGGAGGTGGCCTGGAGGTTCCTGTCTTGTCCCACAGCCTGAGAGAGGCGTTTCCTTCCCTTGTGAGGTGGGGCGGGAGGGATCAGGTCCCTGAATCCCCAGCCAGAGAAGACCACCAGCCTCGGGGCGTTGACTAATGGGACCCACTGCAGGGCCGACCTGGTTCTTGGTCCCCTCCTGGCAGCAGGGGGGTCGGGGGCCAGCCCAGCCCCTTCTTCACACCCTGGCCCAGGGAAAGTGGAGGGTCAGGAGTGGGATCCCTGCAGCGAGGGCGGGAGGAGCCCAGGATGGCAGAGGACCCTGTCCTCAGCCGCCCCCTCTGGCCTTGGGCGCAGTGGCTGCCTGGTTGGCCCATGTGAGGGAACAGCCCTGCTCTGGCCTCCTTGGCCGGCGTCCTGGCCTTGGTCCTGCTGCCTCTGGCTCTCTGGGTCTCTGCCAGGTCTCCATCCCCTCAGCCTTGACTCCAGAGCATCGTCCCCCTCACCCCAGGCCCTTATCTGGACGCCTCCGCCTCTCCCCGCTGGTTCCCGGGTCTCTGTTCCCACCCGGCCCTCTGGCATGTGCCTTGCTCCTGTGACAGTGGCATGTGCCTGTGTGTGGTGGGTCGTGCGCGTGTGCCTCTATATGTGTCTGTGTGTCCCTGCCAGTCACCGGGCGTCTCTCCATCTCTGGGTGTCTCTGTCTGACTCTGGCTGGCTCGGCACTGGCCTGGCGGGGCGGGGGTGTCGGGGAGACCATTAATCTGCGGTGACAGGCCGGGCTGCCGGGTGGAGGGGGAGGGGCATGGGCTGCGGGAGCGGCTGCAGCAGGAGCCGGGAGCGGGCCGCGGGGGAGGGGGCCGCTGGCCGGGCACGGGGTGGAGGGGCGGGCACGGGCGGGGCCGGGGAGCCCAGTGTGGCGGGGTGGGGACCTGGGAGGAGGAGGGGCCGGCCGGAGGAACCACCTCGGTTCCCACCGCAACTGCTGGGCTGGCGGCAGGAGAGCAGAGCACAGTGCCCTGGCAGCCGGGCCCACACCAGGGGCCATGGGCAGCGCCAGCCAGGCAGGCTACAGACCACACTCACTGCCCAGGTGACCCCAGCTCTGGGGCTCAGCTCCTGCCACCCTGGCTTCATGCCAGCGGTGGCCCCAGCTGCCACTGGGCCAGCTCTGGGGGCGCAGCCTGGGCTGGGAGTGCTGCTGGGGTTCCAGTCAGGTGCTGGCCAGGGCCTCAGGCCCCCAAGCAAGCAGGCTGGGGGCAGCCAAGCCCTCCATGGCGGCCTCAGCAGGGAAGGTGAGTGGGACAGGGGCTCTGCGGCCCAGGACCCAGAAAGGCCGAGTGAGGCGGGCTGTTCGCATCTCCAGCCTGGTGGCCCAGGAGGTAGGTGACGCCCCAGCCCTTCCCCCTCCTTTGCAGGGTGGTGGCACTGAGGGGAGGCGTGTGGCCCAGAGGGCTCTGGCTGCAGGGTGGAGAGAGGGTTTCCAGGAAGCAGGGTGGTTTGGGGAGTCCTGGGGTTTGCCTGTTCGCTCACTCTCTTCCCGGCCTGCAGGTCCTGGGTTCCCAGTGTTTTCCTTCCTGGGCGGCCTCTCCCACTTGCACCAGTGGCTCGGAATGCAAAGGGAGGAGAGGGACAACAGGAGTTAGATGAGTGCCAAGAGAGGATGGCGGGGAGATGGAGGGAGGTGAGGAGCCAGTGGGCAGAGACCCCAAGAGGTTGGTGAGCAACAGCTAAGTCTGGCATGGAGGCACTGGCCTCCCTCCCTCTGTGCTGGGAGCGGACCCTAAACTTGGCGGAGGAGCTTGGCTTCCATTCAGGGAGTCTGAGGAAGTGGAGGTCAGAGGGCACTTGAGGGGTGGTGAGGGCATGCAGGGCCCCAGGCAGGTAACCCCCTCCAGCCACCTCACTGCCCCAAGTGGCTGTCCTCTGTTAGAGCCTAGAAGGGGGCTTGGGGTGAGTCTGAGAATCTCCCCCCGTCACCTCCACCCATCTACCCTGACCCCCCTCTGCTTGGGCTCACAGACTCCTTGCAGCAGGGGCCCAGGTGTAGATAGGGTTCTTCTCACCCACAGGACAGGAATGGGGGTTAGATCAGAATTCTACAGGCTTATGCATCAGCTGGGTTCCATACCTGGCCCAAGGCTGACCCTTGGGCAGATGAGGCTGGTGAATCCAGACCCTGCATCCCAGTGGTACCCTACACGTGGGGCTGCGGGCAGACTTGGGAGCGCGATTGCTGCTGTCCTGGGTGCTCCAGTAAAGCCCCCGGGCCTGACACCTCAGGCACAGGGATGAGTCCTATTCCAGGGCAGCTACCCTCTTCCGCCCCTGGTCTGTGGGGTCCTGGCCGGTTCCTTTTTCAGTTCCTCCTTGACCCCTGAAAGGCCACTGTACCGTGCACATTTGCCCTCTGAGCTACGGAGAAGCTGCTTGGGTCGAAGGCTGGGCTGGTGGCTGTCCACAGGGTCCTTGCCTGCTCCGGGCCCAGGCTGCTTCTGCCTTCTCCAGGGCTCTGTGTCCATCCCACGGTGGCCAAATTCCTAACTATGACTCATCTTAGCTCCCAGTTATTTACCCTAAGGAGATGTTCTCCAAGCAGCCCCACCTGTGCAGGGCGCCAGGGAACTCTGCCTGAATATGAATGGGAGTCCTTGGGACTCCTTCTAGCCCAGAGGCCCGAGGGTGCCCACTCCTGGGACTCAGTGCTTCTGGGGGGTGGAGAAGGCCTTGCGTCCAGCAGCCCAGGGGGCACAGGTCCGGGGTTGGAGGCTTTGGGAAGGGGCCGTTGGCATGAGTCAGATTCCCTGAGAGGGGATTCTGAGTGCAAGGGCAGACAAACGAGCTCACACAGGCTTCCAGGACAGTGTGGAGAGCTGGCCTAATTCTCCCTGGTTTGGTTTGGGAGAACGTGTGCTGTGATTAGCGTCCCCTGCTCTGGGAGGTCGTGCTGCTGCCCCCAGGAGATCCTGTGCATGTCCCAGCGTGGTCTCCTCTGTGCTGGGCTGTGTCCTCTATGTCCCTTCCAAAGTGTGGGAGGCTGCCCTGGGAGAGAGGGGGGTTGGGAGAGAAGCGGGTGGGAGTGTCTTGGTCCCTACCCCCCAGTGGAGGGGTCTGAGACTCAGTGGCTGGTGTCCTTGGGCTGGTGGCATGAAAGGCCTGGCTGAGAATTTCAGTGACCATTTTGTGTGTTAGGACTCTGGCTTCTGGGGCCATTGCCCAGGCTGGGAGCTGTGTTGCTTGAATCTCTTTCTGGACTAAAACTATAGGTGTGTGTATGTATATGTGTGTGTGTGTGTGCAATCTTGGGGTGTGGGAAGATTGCATAGTACCTGTTACAGTGTGAGGGTCTGGTCTGCATTGCTAGTGGCTGGTGGTACCAGTACCAGGGTTTACTGCAGGGCACACTGTTTTTGAGTATCTGGGAGCTGTCAGAACTGTGGGGAACCAGCAGCGGAGAGGACCCCCTGTGCTGTGTGGCATTCTGGGAACTCTAGTGCCCAGCTCCGAGGGTGGTCAGTAGCTCTGGCTGCTTGACTGAGGGGTGAACATTCTGATGGAAACCTTTTGGCTTCCCCTTACTCTCCTTGGCCTTACCCTCGAGGTCCCATGCCTGTCCCCACCCTTCACCTGAACCTTCCTCACCCGCCCAGGTCCTGTCCTTGGGCGCTGATGTGCTCCCCGAGTACAAGCTGCAAGCACCGCGCATCCACCGCTGGACCATCCTGCACTACAGCCCCTTCAAGGCTGTGTGGGACTGGCTCATCCTGCTGCTGGTCATCTACACGGCTGTCTTCACGCCCTACTCAGCCGCTTTCCTGCTGAAGGAGACCGAAGAGGGCTCCCAGGCCCCTGACTGCGGCTATGCCTGCCAGCCACTGGCCGTGGTGGACCTCATCGTGGACATCATGTTCATTGTGGACATCCTAATCAACTTCCGCACCACCTATGTCAACGCCAACGAGGAAGTGGTCAGCCACCCCGGCCGCATTGCCGTCCACTATTTCAAGGGCTGGTTTCTCATCGACATGGTGGCTGCCATCCCCTTTGACTTACTCATCTTTGGCTCCGGCTCTGAGGAGGTGGGGTTGGTGGGGAGGCAGAGGGAGTTGGGGAGAGGGGAAGAGAGGCTGGGAGGGTGTGGATGGAGGGGGAGCTTGCGGGAAGTAGTGGGGTGAAGAGGGTGCAGCAGAGAGAAAGTGAGTTGCACAGGTACCTCAATAAATCCCCGCTCCATCCCTCTCTCCGTATGAGCTACCTACAGCGTTTAGGGGCTCGGGGGCTCCTTTTGTAATTTGCATACCCAAAGGAACCATCGTTTTTTAAATTTACACAGGAGTGCCTTAGAAGCTAGTGGGAGGCATACTGGGGTACTGTTGCACCCTTTGGGGCGCTCTTTTTTGTGTTTTTGAGATAGAGTCTAGGTAGTTCAGGCTGCCCTGAACTCACGATGTGGCCCAGGCTGGTCTTGAACTCAGGGCCATTCTCCTGCCTCAGCCTCCCGAGTTCTGGGCTTGCAGGCGATCATCCCCGTGCCCAGCTGGGTTCCCTTTTCCTCATTCTCACTGTGGGGTGGTGGCCATATTGCCTTAAGCTGGCACAGAGGTTAACGCAGCAGGCTGGGTGCAGTCATGGAGGCACTTCATGCAAGGCGGCTTTGATTAGTAGGAAGACGTTCCGGGAGGAAGTCTTGGGGAGCTTCCACTGCAGTACCCTCTGCAAGGCTTCAGTGTCCCCTGCTCCTCGTGTGCCTGCCTCCTGACTGTGCCCCCTCTTGGCCCCCAGCTCATCGGGCTGCTGAAGACCGCGCGGCTGCTGCGGCTGGTGCGCGTGGCGCGGAAGCTGGACCGCTACTCGGAGTACGGGGCGGCGGTGCTCTTCCTGCTCATGTGCACCTTCGCGCTCATCGCGCACTGGCTGGCCTGCATCTGGTACGCCATCGGCAACATGGAGCAGCCGGACATGAACTCGCGCATCGGCTGGCTGCACAACCTGGGCGACCAGATCGGCAAGCCCTACAACAGCAGCGGCCTGGGCGGGCCGTCCATCAAGGACAAGTACGTCACGGCCCTCTACTTCACCTTCAGCAGCCTGACCAGCGTGGGCTTTGGCAACGTCTCACCTAACACCAACTCAGAGAAGATCTTCTCCATCTGCGTCATGCTCATTGGCTGTGAGTGTGCCTGGTGCCGGGTGGGGGTGGCGGGGAAGAGCCCCGGGGGGGGCAGAGAGAGCAAGTCGGAGTCCCCCCACCCCGTCCCCGTCCCCCATGTAGAGATCCAGGGCCCACCAGCAGGACCCGATTTGGAGGCTGGGACACCAGGGCAGGAGAGCGCTGCAGGCCGGCGTGTGTTTGAGTGTGTGTATGTGTGTATCCACTCTCAGACTGAGACGTGACCGGACCACGGGTGTCGTTGACCTGGTGCAGGGCCTGAGTGGAGGGTCCCCGTGGGCGGGCGGGGTCCCTGCGGATGCTGATGGCTCCACTCACCCACGCCCTCCAGCCCTCATGTACGCCAGCATCTTCGGCAACGTGTCGGCCATCATCCAGCGGCTGTACTCGGGCACAGCCCGCTACCACACGCAGATGCTCCGCGTGCGGGAGTTCATCCGCTTCCACCAGATTCCCAACCCGCTGCGCCAGCGCCTGGAGGAGTACTTCCAGCACGCCTGGTCCTACACCAACGGCATCGACATGAACGCGGTGAGCACTGGCAGGGGGCGTCAGATGGTCGTGGTTAGTGCTAAGAAGGACCCTGGGGAGCATGGCGCCTCCTTTGCCCAGCAGCAAGCTGAAGCCCAAGGGGCCCCTTCCTGGGAGAGCTTTGCCTTTGGGACAGGTGCGTACTAGGCCCTTCACATAGGCGATGGCATTGAATCCTACTATGGCCAGAGGGAGGACTTGGTCCTGCACTTACCTTGAGAACACGGAGGTCTAGAAACCAAGGTGCCCAGCCAGAGGTGGTGCAGCTGGAGTGGGAACCCAGGTGCTTCCCAGAGCACTCTGGGAACATCCCAGATCTCTGGGGCCTGGAAGCGCAGGTTTCCCTTAGACCGAGGTGTGGGCCGTGCTGGGGTGCGGGTGGCGTCCTGAGCCATTCCACCCTCCCTCAGGTGCTGAAGGGCTTTCCCGAGTGCCTGCAGGCTGACATCTGCCTGCACCTGAACCGCTCGCTGCTGCAGCACTGTAAGCCGTTCCGTGGGGCCACCAAGGGCTGCCTGCGGGCCCTGGCCATGAAGTTCAAGACCACACACGCACCGCCGGGGGACACGCTGGTGCACGCTGGGGACCTGCTTACTGCCCTCTACTTCATCTCCCGGGGCTCCATTGAGATACTGCGGGGCGACGTCGTTGTGGCCATCCTGGGTATGGGATGTGGGTGACTAGCAGATGGGAGATGACTGCTAAAGCCCAGAGAGGCCTCAGCTCTCTGAATAGGCAGTCACTGGGGTGTCCGCCTGGGGTTGCTGTCAAGGTGTCTGGTTCCTTTAACTTATCCATGCTTAGGACTACCAGAGGGGGCAGCAGAGAGAATCCTTCAGGGTCTGGGGTTCAGAACTCTGGGAGTTTCCGGGTTCCCCTGAATTTCAGGGAGCTTTATGATCTCCCCATAGGCAGATACTTCTTGCTTCCTTAAAGTAGGACCCAATATAGATGCTCCAGGTATGCAGTGGAGGGGCAGGTGCCTACCTGGGGGCTGTGCATAGATTTCACTAGGTCAGAGGGTTCCCTGCAGCCTCGAGCAGTCGAGCAGTAGCAGCACGTTAGGCCCCTATCAGCGTGTCCAGAGGAAGGGCGTCCCGCCCCTCCCCCTTGCAGCTCTCCCGCCCTGCCCTGGCCCACCTGTGCCCGTGAGTCTGCACGTTAGGGGTTTCTTGGTCTTGCCTGTCTTTCACGTCACCCTGCATGCCACAGGGACAGATGCATCAAAACGATTTTGACCATGGCTCACGGAACATTCTGGATTTAAAAAAGAATTACTTTTCTTAGTCCACGTTTGTGGCGCATAAGGATTGTATTCATCAGGAGGAGTTGGTACCTGTGCATGACACATCTGAATCTTCTTTGCGACTCCTTCCCTGCCCCTCCCTCACATAGGTTTTTATTTCTCAGTTCAGCATAAACACACACACCTACTCCTCAAGCAGTCCCCCAACAGCTCAATCAAGTTTGACCGCAGAGCAGAGCATGCGGTCCATTCTGTTCTTTTTCGTTCTGTGACGAGATAAGCTCTACTACCTTATTTTCTCTCGGTTACACGGGTGCTGGTCCTGGTTCACTGCACTGTGCTTGTCTGTGGTTTGAAGGGTGTGCTTCTGCGGATGCAGCTATTGAGTTCGAGAGTGTTTGGGACATGTGGTTAAGGGTTCATAGGAGGATTACAACCCAAGGAACTCAGAGCCACCAGCAGAGCTGGGGCATCCGGGGTGGTCCTTTCGCCTGGGTCCTACTTGCTGGGAGAACCAACCTTCCTGGCTCCTCCCTCAGGCGTTGCAGGCTACATGGCAGATGCCTCCTGGGGCCCATGATGCTGGCCCCATGGGCTGAGGTCTCTGTCCGCTCCGTGGCCCCCATGATGCTGGCCCCATGGGCTGAGGTCTCTGTCCTCTCCGTGGCCCCCAGGGAAGAATGACATCTTTGGAGAGCCTCTGAACCTGTATGCACGGCCTGGCAAGTCCAACGGGGATGTGCGGGCCCTCACCTACTGCGACCTGCACAAGATCCATCGGGATGACCTACTGGAGGTGCTGGACATGTACCCTGAGTTCTCAGACCACTTCTGGTCCAGCCTGGAGATCACCTTCAACCTTCGAGATGTGAGTGGGACATCCGGAGTTGGCCTCTGCCTCCAGGAGAGCTACCTGCTCCTCTTCCGGCTGTGAGGCTGTCCCTTCACTGTGTGACCTTAAGGTGCTGTTTCTCTGCCTCGGTTTCCCTGTCTGTCAGGTCATACGACAGCCATACCAGGCTGTGAAAGTCCCACTTCAGCCTTGGGCCAGGGGCAGAGACCCAAGGAAGTGGGGAATGGGGTGGGGGTGGGGGTTTCCCCAGAGCTCCTTGTATTAACGAGGCATCAAGGCTGAGGGTGCTGAAGGGCCCTGACGCCGCTCTTGGTTCCAGACCAATATGATCCCGGGTTCTCCTGGCAGCACCGAGTTAGAGGGTGGCTTCAACCGGCAACGCAAGCGCAAGCTGTCCTTTCGCAGGCGCACCGACAAGGGTGAGGTGGGCGAGGGGCGGGCAGGGAGGGGACAGGAGGGGCTGGGAGGGGAGGATGACCCCGGGCCCCTGGACCCTCCTGTCCCTTCCACGGTGCCCACTCCCCACTCCAGCTGTCCAAACAGTCGGCCTTTGTGGCCCCCTTGAGCTGACGCCTCCTCCAGGAAGCCTCTCCTCAGCTCCAGGGCAGGTGAGGGGCTGTTTGGTCCTCACAGGGCTGGAGTCTTGGGCCTTGAGATGTTGAGGAGGGTGGATACAGACAAAGGAGGCCCTACAGGGACACCGTAGGGGTCCAGGGGTCCCCAGAGTTCTCTGAGGTCAGGAGCAGAGCTGCCCAGGGCATCCCCAGCCTGGACCCTAGCCCCTCCCCCCTGAGGCCCCATCTCTTTCCCCTGCAGACCCTGAGCAGCCTGGGGAGGTGGCGGCCTTGGGGCCAGGCCGGGTGGGCGCAGGGCCCAGTGGCTGGGGCCGGCCAGGAACGCCATGGGGAGACAGCCCGTCCAGTGGCCCTTCCAGCCCGGAGAGCAGTGAGGATGAGGGTCAGGGCCACAGCTCCAGCCCCCTGCGCCTGGTGCCCTTCTCCAGCCCGAGGCCCCCCGGGGAACCACGGGGCACGGAGCCCCTGACGGAAGATGGTGACAAGAGCGACACGTGCAACCCGCTGTCTGGTAGGGGCGGGGCGGGGCCGTGGGGGGTGTGGCGGGTGTGGCTTTTCTCCCCAGCCTCACCCCTGCTCTCCCTGCTGCAGGCGCTTTCTCTGGGGTGTCCAACATTTTCAGCTTTTGGGGGGACAGTCGGGGCCGCCAGTACCAGGAGCTGCCTCGATGCCCTGCCCCTGCCCCCAGCCTCCTCAACATCCCTCTGTCCAGCCCGGGCCGGCGGCCCCGGGGCGATGTGGAGAGCAGGCTGGATGCCCTGCAGCGGCAGCTCAACAGGTAGGGCGGATGACTCTGTGTGTGTGTGTGTGTGTGTGTGTGTGTGTGTGTGTGTGTGTGTGAGAGGCAGGAAGTGGGCTTTGCTATGGGCATAGGAGTCTACTCTTTGGTCCCCTGGCGGTGTCCTGGGGTAAAGGGAGAGTTCTGCTGAGTCTTGGCCAGTCTGTAATCCACTCTTCCAAGCCAAGTTGAGCCAACGCTATCCACACCCAAGGTGCAGAGGGAGCCTGGGGTTGACCAGCTGCCTGACCCCACCCCCAGGGGGTCTCAGAGTCAGTGCCTGGCATCTCCATTTCCCTGAACATCCTCCTTCTCTATGGGACCCAAGTTTGCCCTCCCTCCTTCTTGCCCAGGCTGGAGACCCGGCTGAGTGCAGACATGGCCACTGTTCTGCAGCTGCTACAGAGACAAATGACACTGGTCCCTCCTGCCTACAGTGCTGTGACCACCCCAGGGCCCGGCCCCACCTCCACCTCTCCCTTGCTGCCCATCAACCCCGTCCCCACCCTCACCCTGGACTCGCTTTCTCAGGTGAGTTAGTCCTGAGCCCCTCTCCAAGGTACCCTGGCACCCCAGGCCTGCCTTTCCTACCCTGCTTTTTCTATTTGCTGTGTCCCTATCTGCCCCCCTGTCTGCCTCAGACCCCCAGCACCCCATCCCTTCCTTCCTCTCACCGAGGAGCAAGGGACTGGAAACCAGCAGCAGAGTGACTCAGGCTCCCCTGGCATCATCTGCAGGTCCAGCGCTGATGGAGCTACCTGAGCCTGGGACCGGGTGGGGCATGGTCCTGGGCCCCTGCTCTGGTCTTCCTCTCTGCCTGTCTTGGACCCCTGCTTTCACTGTATTACAGTGCTGTTTTGAAGGCTGCTGGCAATTGTGCTGAGGCCAAGCCCAAGGGGCAGCAGTTCCTGGGCCTGCTGGGGGCGGGCATCAGGTGCCCTTTGTCCTCTCCTGAGCGAACACATGTGCTTTCAGGCTCCCGGCACCAGTTCCTCAGGGTGGAGAAGGGGGCTGCTCCGGCTCCCAGAGGCGGCCTAGGATTTGCGCCACACGCACCCCCTTCCCCTGGCACCGCTCCCCCTCCCATATGCTGCCTGCTCCTGTTTGCAGACACCAGGGCCCACGTCAGCGAATGTGCCAGTCTCCCTTCACAGCCTCCCCCGCAGAGATCTCACCAGCACCGCGTCAGCACCCACAAGCCCCTCCCGCCTGCCCTGGCGCTCTCCCTGGCCTTCAGAAGCCTGGCCGCCAGCCTGTCTCCGACTCCAGTCTTGGAGTTCTTTCTAGAACTGCAGGGAGGAGCACTCTCTGTCCCTGCTTCTGCCCCAGCGCAGAGACTCCTTATTCCAGGTTAGGTTTGGATCCAGCAGCCAGGTTCCCCAGGTGAAAGAGGCTGCAGCCTGAGTCTTGCTGGTGGGAGCCAGGCCCCCCGGGGCAGGCGCAAACCCCTTGGCTGCCCCAGCTCCGGGCTCTTGCGCTGAGAGTGCATTTCTGTGCTTCCCGACACAGTGCCTCACCTTTGTGGTCCCTGTCCTTTTCTGTCTGCTCGGGCCCTTCTCTTGTGCCCACCTGACCCTCCTCTCTGTCTTCTGTGGCCTGGATCCTCTTGTCCCCCTACCCGCTTCTCCTCCTCCTGGGCCTTCCTGCCTGCTCACACTCTGTTCTTTCTTTGCAGGTTTCCCAGTTTGTGGCGTTCGAGGAGCTTGCCCCGGGAGCCCCAGAGCTCCCGCAAGATGGCCCTACTCGGCGCCTCTCCCTGCCCGGCCAGCTGGGGGCCCTCACCTCCCAGCCCCTGCACAGACACGGCTCAGACCCGGGTAGTTAGTGAGGCTGCCTGGTGTGGACACGTGGCTCACCAGGGTTCTGCGCACTGCCTGGGCCGCTCCCCTCGGAGGCCCTGGCCAGGAGGCCCTGGCCGTAGAGGGGAGACCGGTGAAGGAGCAGCTCCTCCCTCGCCCTTGGGACCATGTCCTCCTGCAGTCCCCTGGGCCCCACTGGGAGGGGCAGGGGCAGGGCCGGGCAGTGGACAGGGGATCTGTGGTCCCCCCACTGCCCTGGGGGCATTAGCTGGTCTAACTGCCCGGAGGCACCCGGCCCTGGGCCTTAGGCACCTCAAGGACTTTTCTGCTATTTACTGCTCTTATTGTTAAGGATAATAATTAAGGATCATATGAATAATTAATGAAGATGCTGATGACTATGAATAATAAATAATTATCCTGAGGCGACTTGGTGGTTTTGGGAAGGTGCAGCTGGCACCTGCTCTGTCCCGGGTTCAGTTCTGGGTGCAGGGTCTGGGTCTGCCCGGCACAGAGGTCTGACCGCCCGCATATCTCGGGTTTGTGTGTGTGCACACAGTCCATCCTCAGGGCTTCCCGTGTGGCCCTGCGTTCAGGGTAGCAAAGAGCCGGGTGGCCTCTGGGTTAGAGGTAGGCCTGGCGGGCTGCTCCCCACCCCAGCCCAGCCCCTTGACCATGCAGCCCCAAAGCCGGCCCACACTGAGGCCACCGTACACTTGTTCCCTATATGCAGGCTGTCACGCGCTTGTCCCCCTGAAGTACTTCATGAGCCCAGCCCCACACTCGTCCTAATTTGCAACTCTATTTGGCATTTTTGTTTTTTTAAATTTTGAGATGGGTCTTTCTATGTAGCCCATATTGACCTTGAATTCACTCTGTATCGCAGGCTGGATTTGAACGCTCAGTTATCCTTCTTTCTCAGCTTCCTGAATGCTGGGATTACAGATGTGCACCACTGCACCTGGCCTGGTCTTATTTTGACCCTATATAATTGTGCCTACCGTGAACCCAGCTGTGGCGCACTGGCTTCCCCAGCCCTGTGCAGAGCTCACCTGCACCTAGCTCCGGAGGGACATCCCCTTTATCACTGCAGCCACTGGTGACCCCCTAGGCCTTTCACTCAGGCCTCCCTGGAGGGTGGGTGTGGCTGTCACCGAGGGAGGCGCCTGCCCAGCAGAGTCTGTTGGTGGGCTAGGGACTGTGCAATAAGCAGTCCAATCTTTGCCCAGGGCTGGTGGTGAGCAGTGCAGGTACATGCTAGACTCGATGCCCTCAGCACACTGGGTTCCCCACGCCCTGGCACTGTCATATCTTTGTTACTGTCTGTCCTTGTCCTGGGATCTCAGCTCCATTCACACCCCTCGGGGTCCAGGAGTGGGCCGGTGTTTGTGGCTCAGGCATCTGATCTCCCCAAGGCTTTGTGTGGGGATGACACTGGTTATTTATTTGGGGCACCCTATGAGGAATACACAGGCCCTCCCTGGGGCCTGATGTGCACCTTGGTGCTCAGTGGAGTGTGTGTGTGTGTGTGTGTGTGTGTGTGTGTGTGTGTGTGTGTGCTCGCGCGCGCATGCGCACACACACAAGGTTTGTTGCCAGGATTCCTGAGCCTGTACACTGGTCCCCTACTGAAGCACATAGATCCTCCAGGGGCAGTTGTTCAGCCTGGACTCAGCCCCTGCCGACGCAGCCTGTGTGGGTCCCTGCCAGGAGCTGCCTGCCACGGTTGGAGTGTGGGGAGGGGACAATAGTCATAGCAGCTCCGTCTACCAGGTGTCACCACCTGCCAGATTGCAGCTGCTCTGTAGCATTAATGCCTGTCACTGCAGAAGTGGGGACCATGAGTCCATGTGGCAGCCAGGCTCAGGATAGCCTGGGACTGTCCTATGGCTACACTATGCTGGCAGGTGGCAGGTGTGTCTGACTCCCGTCTTGCCCCTGCCGCTCCTGTGCCCGCGCTACTTGGCGCTCAGACCACGCTCACCTGGGTCAGACCTGCCCACCTCGGCCTCCTCCTTTCATCTCAGCTCCTGGAGCCACAGGGACACTGAGGGGTAGGCAGGCCACGGGGCCTCTCACTATTCCTGCAAGGTGGGCGGCTGCCGACTGGGGCACTGTCGTCCAGAGCTCAGGCATCTCCCAAACCAAGAGAGCCGGAGGGTGGGGCAGGAGTGGAGCGGGCTGTGGCGGGCATGGAGAGGGATCCACGTGGCTGCCAACTCCTGGAGGAAGCCTGGAGCAGTGCCCGGAGCTGGCTGTCTCAGCTGGGGTTGGGAGCTGGAAGTGCAGGGGCAGGGCCTGCTGCCTCCCCACCTCCACCTCTGCACTCTCGGCTCCAGGAGTACAGCGAGGCCATAGTGGTGTGTTCCATCCCGTGATACAGATGCTTCCTCTGCCGGGGCACAAGCTCGCCCCAGCAGCTGGCCGTACCTGGACCCCCAACGCCACACAGCCAGGCAGCAGCCACTCTCACATTTCACTGAAATGTAAATGCAAATGACATTCCTAGCACAGCACTGCATTTGCCTGGGGCCAGAGCCTGAGAGGGTTCCTGCACTTCCGAGTCTTTCCTGTGATAAGCAGACAGGGGGTTGCTCCCCAGCAATGGTCCCTGAAGACCGAATATGGTCACATCTTCACCCCATGCTGTTGGCTCAAGGCAGCGCATAGAAATGGTCCCTGCCCCAACATACAAGTGCAGATCTCACTTGGTGCCCTCTGTGGGTGGAGCTCTTGGGTGGGCATCACAGCTGAGCGCCTGTGATGCTCTTGGCTGAGCTCAATGCAGGTGGCGGCACATCAGTAGCCTGGCCACACCCTCCAGGGAAGCCCCTGCAGCCTGGCCACCCCCTGCCCATGTTGCAGGAGCAGATGGACTGGAGCATGCGCAGGTCCTGAAGAGACGGGTGGCTGTCTCCTCACTTGAAGCACAGAGCCCTCGGTGGAACCTGGCGCAGGGATCCTGTCCCTCCTCTCCAGACTCACCACCTTTCTCTCTCCATTCCATGTTCCCTCCTTTCTGCCCCAAGAGCTTCTGTCCTGTTCACTGTGTTTTTGTGCCCTTGAATCTGCCTGGTCCTTCCCCCTTGCAGTGCCAGCACCCTCATGTTGGCCCAGAAAGACCCATCTCTCCTCTGGTCAGCTCAGATATCACCCATGCCTGACCACTTCTCCCAGCCTCTCTGCTGTCTTCCCACGGCACCTGGCTTACACCTTTGTGCTGGTCCTCACCACATCCTGCTGTCTTGTCTGTCTTCCTAAAAGGGCAAGGGCTGAGGCTCTTTTCTCACCTCTGCATCTTGTACAGTGCCTGGTACCTGTAAGGCCACCAGGAAATCCATCCATGAAGCCCTGTTGGCTGAGGGTTCTGCATGGAATGGAGAGCTGTTTCTTGAGCAGACCTGGCTGGGCTAAGACTTACTGCTGCTCCTGGAGCTCACCTCTCTTTTGGGGTTTGGTCTCTTGATTGCGGCTGCCTCTCCTGACCCACATTCCCCAAGGAATCCAGGCTCCACCTTTTCATCAGCAAGTGCAGATACAAATGTTTTATTATTTATTTATTTTTACTGTAACATAACTAAGGCATGTTGGCATTTTAAGAATGCCCTGATTAACTCTTTGAAAGAGAATGAGGGGAGAAGAGCTGATCCAAAAACCCAGAGCTGGTTTCATAAAATGCACATTGTCTGCCCTGCATATGCCTGAAGCCTCCTGGGCTCCATCTTCCTGGGCTCTGAGGAGCTCTGTGAGGCCAGGGCAGCTCTGCGGCACTTTGCTGAGGATATTCTCCTAGTTTCTTTCTTTCTTTCTTTTTTTTTTTTTTCCGGTACCAGGAATCTAACTCACGACCTTGCGCTTGCCAGGCAGGTGCTGTGCCGCTGAGCTAAATCCCCAGCCCCTCTTCTCCCAGTTTCCAAGTCCCGGGTAGACCATATGGAGGACTCCAGCTCACTGCCTTGTTGGGGGCTCACTTGTCCTTGATGGTTGAGACTGAGAGAGGTTACACCTTGGGGTTTGCAGAGCCAATGTTGTGGCCATGCTCCTCGGGAGTGGATGGTCTTGTGGGATCTGAGAGTCAGTCAGCCTTGCTTTTCACCGAGGCCTTGCACTGGCCTCCAGGGAGCAGTTGTGTCTCCTGGGTTACTGGTGACCAACAAGACAGGACCCCTCTGGGTGGACACACTCTTCTGACCAGCCTATCTCAGGTGCTCAAAACAGTGACAGACATCTGAAGCTCAGGGCCTCCCAAGGGGACAATAATGAGGTGTCTTCAGATAACTGTATATCATAGGAGTGGTCAGTGTGAAAAGTCATGATTTAGTGACCTTCTTTTTTTTTTTTTTGGTTTTTCTCCAGTACCGGGAATCAAACTCACGACCTTGCGCTTGCCAGGCAGGTGCTTTGCCACTGAGCTAAATCCCCAGCCCCATAGTGACCTTCTTAAAAGTGCTTATATGTGTGATATTAAGGGATAAAAACTTGTTTTTAATCTTATTGCAGTAGCACCAAAAATAAAGTGATTTTTAATAATTTATGTTCGAAGTCTAAATGTAGTCGAAGCTCTTTTTCTGTCGTTCACATTTGCTTAAAAAAAATACTGAAGAATGCATCCTGAGACACTTGTTTAAATAATCAGCTTCATTATTTTACGATCACACCTTATAAGTGAGTTGGGAGTCTGTAAGAGCCATTGCTAAGAAACCAGAACAGAGGAATTCAGCATGGTTGTCTTGCCATTATTTTAAAATTAGCAGTAGCATAAGGTCTGGCTGCAAAAGACTTAGCACTCACTGGCAAGAAAGCCAGTCTCTGGGGAAACAGCCTGGAGAGGATCTCTCTGCAACGCGACCATATTGTAACTCCAGGGCTCCCTTTCCTGCTCCTAGAGGTGACACCAGCCAGAGGCTCCACAGGGCTCACTGATCAGGGACACAGGTAAGGTCGGATCTAGCCAGTCTGGTAGTGTTGAGCTTCTCAGGGGAACAGAACTCTTAGGTGGGAAAATGACCATCAAGTGTTTCTTTAATGTTGTATGGTTTAGATCTGGGGGGGTCCCCCCCCCCCCACTGAGCCTCATGTGTTTGGAGGGTGATTGGATCATGGGGGTGCTATACTTATCAATGGATCAATTCACTGATGAGTTCATAGCTGGCTTGCTGCTACGAGGTTGGGCCTGGGGAGAAACAGGTCACTGGGTCATGATCCGGAAGTAATATCACTCTTCCCTGATACTCCCTACTCTCTGCTTCCTGGCTGCCATGACTTGAGCAGCTCTCCTCTACATCAGGCCCTTCCACCATGCTGTTTCTACCACTGAGTCTACCAGCCATTGACTGAATCTTCTGAGGCTGTGAGCCAAAATAAGCGTCTCCTTTAAATTGTGGGTGTTGGGTATTTTTTCGCAGGGACAAGAAAGCACCTAAG